TCATTTGATGAAATTTTATGTAGCCATCGGATGGTTTTCTTATGGAGTTATCCATCAATTAATATTTTTACACCTGTCCAAATTGTATTTATTATGGAACACGTGTCAATACACTGTTGGTGAATAAGTGTGGATGACTCCATAAGTCGAACCATCCTATGGCTCCATATCAAAACTGTTACAGCAGCTAGCTATGTTAAATCTATCCTATATTTTGCATAAATGTCACATATGTCATTTATTTTGCAGTCACGCACTCGACTTCTCAAAATTATTTGCCCCGAACTATGTCCGGGTACGTTCAATGTTCGGAAAAAACTTTTGGAACGTGATTTTAGAATGTGAGATGAAAAGTTGGGTTATTTATGAAGCTAGAATAGCCACGGTGCATTACTGTAAAAATATTTGATAATTCAACAATTTTTGCTGGCTCCATTAATGACAGGTACATATGCGAGTCAAACAATGGTGGCTTTTGTTATCTTCAAAGATAGTTGAATTTTTATTTTTTGTTGGTAATTTGGCTAAACCTCGTGAATAGTTTATATAATGAATGATTTTTCTCTTAGTGAAAAGTTAGATATAATAATGCTGTAAAATTTTCTGCACCTCCTGTTGAAACTGTGATCTCCCTTGGGCGGCGTCCGGTCGAAGAACCTTTATTGCCACTTCGGTGTGATCCAGCTGGCTCTTGTAGACCGGTCCGTATCCGCCTTCCCCTATTTTGCGATGCTCTGCAAAGTACTCCGTGGCAGTTTCGACCTCCTCTATGGAGTATTTTCGGTACCTGACATCGTTATTTGCCAGCCTGTCAAGCACTCTCTTTTTCTCCTCAGCTTCTTTAACAGCTTTCATCTCGGCGCTGATTCTCTTCTGAGCTTCGAGCTCAGCTAGCCTCTGAGCTTCTGCAGCTTTCTCGATAGCTATCCTGCATTTCTCCTTTTCCTTCTCAGCAATTAGTAATGCCGCTTCCTCTGCCATACGTGCCTCTTCGAGCTTCTGTTGTTCTTCCACTTTCCAGCGGTGTAGCTCTAGTGCCTTCAACAGAATCATTGAAAGTTAAGCCTCGATTTTAATTTTTCTTTTTTTTTTTTTAATATTGTTTGTGATGATAGAAAGTATGCTTAATTTTAACTAATATTCTCAAGATTTAGTATTGTACTTTCTGTTTTGCTGTAAGTGCTTCTTTGCAGGCTGTGCTGTACATGTCCATGGTTTGTTTGAGCTCCTGCTTTAGCCTTCTCATCTCTGCTTCAACATCTTCCTGCATATATAAATATTTCACTTGAGGAGCATAATACGTGTCTGGGTTGGTCAGAACATATTCTCTGTTTTGCTAAAATATCATGTTTTATCCCAAAAAGAACAAGGAAAAAGCGAATTTTATGATAATTATTAAGTGTGATAAACTTTTGTTGTAAGCATGAAAAAAAAAAAAAAAAAGAATTGAATTGACTGTCTAGTACAAAAATATTATAGTAATGTTTGGAGAGCAAATTCATGTGAAGTCAAATGCCACAAATGGATTTTTCTTTTCTTGAGGTTCAATTAATAAAACATGGATGCCTGACTTTAGTGTTCGTTTACCAGACTCTGTGATCCAGACCACGGGACATTTCCACTATCCTGTGAGCTGGACGAGTAGACTCCAAAACTGTTGTTTGCATCCGATGACCTGGCATTTGAGAACTGCGATCCGAAACTCGACCTGTTATCCGTGTCCGAGCTGTTTGAAAGGCGTGGGGCCATCATCATCATATCCTGATCAAATAACGAGTTCATGCGCTCGTTACTCGGCCTAGCTGGGCTCACGAATGAAATGTCGGTGTCGGGCATCGCGAGTTCACCATATGATCGGTTTGTAGCTTTGCCTCTTGTGAAAGGCGACCTGCATATGAAGAAGTTGACAGGTGTTTGAATCTATCTGTTAGCTTTTTTAATGCATTGGGCTGAAAGACTAATGCTCTTGTGACTAAAATGACTAATATTTTGTCGAAACTATAGAATTTCTCTTGAGATTTTGTATGTTAACTTTTACAAAACCTCGAGAACTCTTTTTCTCCTGCGGTATATTTTAAATCTCTTTTCTATTTGAAATTGAACAAGTCGAGCTTACTTGATCGTGTCCATTTCCTCTATTGGGATGGTTTTGGCTGCAAACGGACCTCGCATTCCGTAGCTTTGCCCAGAACGCGCATCTGTCGTGTGGCCTGAAGGTGGATGATTGCTTGCATTATGCTGCGTTCGACAACCTTCGTTCGTGAGTGGAGTTCCAGCAGATTTTACCGATGTAACTTTTCCTTTGGAAATGACGTACACCGTGCAAAAATCGGGCACCCCTTTCGTAACGCTGCCCGATATATCCACAGTCTTGAATCTGCTCTGCCCAAAGATTGTAAGTTCATCCATATTTTATATACTTGGGATTCCATTTCTTATTCTGGTCATATATTGAGAAAATATAATGCCAGAAGAGGGCAGAATTTCAGGCAAAATTGTAATTTTATTCCTGTTGGTTTGATTCAATGACATTTTTAGCCCTAAAGAATTAAACATTTTGCTATTTGGTCCTATAATTTTAAAATTCAATGCAATTTAAGTCCTTTGAGATTGAAATTGCAACAAAATTTAAAATTACAGGACTTAAATTGCTAATATAAAATCGTTGGGATGGATTTTTTATTAGCAATTTAAGTCTTGTAATTTTAAATTTTATTGCAAATTTAATCCCGAAAGTTGAAATCTAATCTTGGAACTAAAAATACTATGACGTTAAACCAACAGGACTAAAAATACAATTTTGACCAGAATTTTATTACCTAACGAGTCCATTCTTGGCGGAGGAGCCCACGACCAATGTCTCGATGAAGTTGCTCCTCACGTAATCGCACAGAGCTTTTGCCACGTCTGAATCTTCAAGTGTGATTTCATTTACTTGTATCTACAGTTGAAAATAAAAAAACCGTTATATAGATGTATAGTACTTATCTGGGGAATTAATTTAAATGAGAGAAGAATTACAAAGCTTACGTCCTTGCGGGTGCAAAAGCAGCGGAAAGGAAGGAAGAGTTCCTTGGATTGGCTATCTGCACCAACGTGATTCCCCACTATAAAAGTTGCAGAGCGAGTCAAAATATAAAGAGAGAAAAAGAAAGAAAGAAAGAACGAACATAAAGGCCAAAAACTTGCCAAAAATTTGCCAAAATATTTAAAATAAGATTCTTTAATTTCTTAGGATGAAGAGAAAAAAACGAGTAAAGACAATAAATTTAATGCAGAAATAATTAGAACCACGATATACACGTGTGAATGAATGAATATATATGTAGAGAGAAATAAAATTGAGAAATGGAAATACATGGAACAGGAGCAGAAGTCTTGAGCTTGACATGGAGGAGGGTGACACTTTTGCCCTTGCCGAGTAGATTATCAACTGCCCATTTCAATGCTGCTTGGCTCCCTTTATCTTTGTCAATTGCTACAACCACCGTTTCTACCTTATTGTTCTTTTCACCTCTTTGTCCTGTCATAATCTCAATTGCATGCACAATTTTTATTTTATTTTTTTGGAAAGAAAAAGAAATATGTTCCTTGTTTTGGGGTTACTGAATCGTTCTTGATCAGGACAATGTGCTTTTAAGCCTTTTCAGTTTCTGGTGTTTTCCAGTTTTTCTGTTGTTTTTTTTATTTTTTATTTTTTTGGTTCCAACAAACAAGTTGATGAATTTTATATGACTTTCATTGATGATTTTTGAGAGGCTTAAGTCCCTTTTGCATAAGAGTTGACTCAAATTCTTATTACTTGTTTTTTTAAGACCCCAAACCCCTCCTTAAAACATGGGTTTTCTCAACACCATGCATTTTGGTCTCATTCTCTGCTTTTCCCATGTTTAATGGTGAGGATTGCTGGAATTGATGATAGGTTGAATATATCCCGAATTATCGCAGGATTACTTGTAGTCATCATGACTCTAGGTTGACTTTGATGTATAATCCTAAATATATAGTCTTAAATTTATCATGTAGGTGCTACATGCCAAAGGGATTGAGAATATGGTGAAAAATTGTATACTGGTAATAACATATTATAAGCACTATTGGGGTTACGGCTCTTCGGGCCCAATTTAATCTATAAGGGCCCGCGCGATTGGTAGCAGGTCAAAATTGTTTTTTATTGGATTCTAAGTTAAAGCGAGTTATTTTAAATAAATGTGACCAAAGTTGATTGAGTGAATGATTTTGAGTTTGTATTTGAATATATTTAAAATATAACGATTATAGTTGATTCGATGTAAAAATATGAGATGTGATTGAAAGTGATGGATGACTAAAATTATGTGAGTAGATGAATAATGAATTAAATTTGATGTTATGTAATGATGATTGATTGATATTTATTTAATTATAATGATAATATCAAGGATAGAGATTCAACTAAATTTGAGTTAAATTTTAGGTTAAAGTGAGTACAAAAATTAGTGATCAATCAAAATCGATTCTGATCTATTATCAATCGCTACCTACGTAACTGTTAAATTTGTATATTTAATAACCGTGTTTTACAAGTACAATAAGAATAGTAAGAACAATCATCGATGCTTGTAGATGTTGTTGCTCTAGTTATGTAGTGCACCCATTGGAACATATGAATTGTTGAAGCTTACTTCCCTTGAACTTACAAACCAAGTCTTGTTTTATCATGTGATTCTTGAACTTGCAAACCAAGGCTTACTTCTCTTTTAACTTTCTATAAAAGTTCTTGATGGCAGTGTTGGTTTTATGCCTATTGTTTTGTTGGTTATTAAAACTAGTGTCATAATCGAACTGAACGAGCTGAGCTTGGACATTTCGAGCTCACGTTCGTTCGTTTATCTTTCGAGCAAAAATTAGTGCTAGAGTTTGTTTGTTTGGTTGTTCGTTAATGTTCGAATTCATTCGTGTATGACAATTTATCTTTCGAGCAAAAATTAGTGCTTGAGTTCGTTTGAAGTGCACGTGGGATGCACATGATGCATGATTCATAATTTTTATTATTTAAAATTATTATTTTCTGTTTATATTTATATGGTTTATTTAATTTTTGCATTGTTATTTTTTTCGTTATACTGAATTGTGTCACATGTGTTGGAGATTGAAACATAAATTTTGAATAGTGATAATATTTGAAAGTCATGATAAAAAAGAATAAGGAAAATTTGGTGTACAAAACATTTATTATCTACATTAATCTTGTTAGTTTGAATTTTTTTCCAGTAGCTAATTGCAAAAAGTTTCAAAATTGCCATGTAACTTGTTTGAACTGAAATTTCACTATTTGATTAGTTTGCATACTTTTTTTGTACTATCCCCAAAATTTATTAAGCAACATTGTCAATTGTTTTTACTATTTTTGTTAACAACATATAAAAACCATAATACAATTGATATTTTGTAGCTGATTTTTTTAAAAATCAGCTACAAAATTACCTTCCTAATTATAGTGGCATATTTTTCAATATTTTCCACTTTATTTAATATAACTATAGTTATTTGTATCACTTATAAATATATCTTAAACTTCAAGTTTTGACATTATAAATAATACTTTTGGTGGATTATATTTGATTCTATACTCAAGGGATAAAGACATGTAAATTAAAGGCTTTGCAGTATATATAATGAATGATAGTTTTGGATTTGAAGTGTATTTAATGCCTCAAAATATTGTGATAGGATAATTATATCAAATGTCTACTTAATTAGTAAAATGCCTCAAAAATATGCATTGAACACACCCCAACACATATAAAATGTAAAATATATAGTCATCAATCGTATTGCTTCGACACGGCTATTGGGCAACATTTTTTCTTGACAAGGATCCAAGGACGACGCCAGGGGTGCAAGAAGGCAACGACAAGTTGAGGTAGGGCCCTTGGATGATCAGTTGGAAACTCGACTTTTATGGATGATCGGTCGTACAATCGATCATAAAGCTATTATGTGTGTTATATCAGGTATTTTTTTCATTTACATAGCAGTCAGATTATAGGTGGTGAATAAATGAATAAGAAACTTTTCTATATCCTTTTTTTTACCCATTTATATAATTGAGAAAAATCTTAGAAAATCATACTTTAGAAAAACTTGCGGTGATTTTTTTTTTTTGCTTTATCTTTTTGTTTTCTTGGTTTGAAAATTGTACACATTCAGATAATTTTGCCTGAGGGAAGACATTTTGTCTTATAAATTTCTACTAGTACAACACCTGTGTATTACACGAGCGCTTGTTAAAAATTTATTCTTAAATTTTAAAAATTAATGAGAAAAAATATTTTAATTTTTTTTTTACTTTTTTACAAAAAAACATATATTATTATATATTTTAGAATGACACTTGTTACTTGTGTGACTTATATGTATTATATTATAGTAATTTTTATAAATTATATCATATAACTACTTGGAATATAAATATATTAATTGATAAATAATTTAATTTTTCTAATTAATATTAAAAAACTTTTATTATAGTTATAAAGATAAATATAATTTATTTTTATATACATACAATATAGATGTTAAATTGAAGCTCATCAAGAGATGATTATTGATATATTATATATGTAAAACTGATAAAAAAATACAAAAATTATTAACTTTTAAAATACATTTACAATTCAATAGTTATAATAAGAAATGATATTAAAATACAATTAATACATGTAACATGATCATAAACAATCAACATATTTATGGATAATTCGGACCTAATTATTTTTGAATTGGTAAATTAATATCTATCCAAGCCTAATAACAAAACATGTAATTTTGCCACATAGAATCTCGAAGCATGACACTTTGTAATTTTGCTACATAGAATCTTGAAGCATGACACTTAGACTCAGCACGATCTGAATTAATATAGATATAGACAAGCGGAAAAATAACAAGCGTGACTCTCAAGTCTCAAGTAAGGAAGCGAAATTGCAGTGCTCCTGTTTTCCTTTGCTCAGGTACACTTTTTTAAGTCGTAACATCATATAACAACAAGTGTAGATATTAAAATCAATCACAAACAACTCATAGGTACATAGTAAATTTGCTTTTTCCGACCAAAGCCATCTTTCCTCTTTATCCAACTCAAACTGACAAAAATGTATTTTTACATCAAACATAAGCAAAAAGAATCATTTTTTTTTTTTAAAAAAAATATATATATACACATAGAAGAAGCCAGAGAGGAAAGAAGGATAATCAAAACAAAAACCGGTCATAAACAATAACACAGGAGGCGAAGACCGAAAACCGAAAACGTGAGGCCGGCGTACTCTCTATATATATCTATCCCTGTTTTTTCTCAAACTTGAACAAGAGACCCAATCTCCCTACTCCTCCTTTACCTCCTCAATCCTGCTGGCAGCCTCCTTGATATCCGGCCGCTTCTCAACGTCCGGCTCACAACACTCGAGCCCTATCCTGACGAGCCTCTCCATCTCCGTCACGCTCCTCTCACCGCGCACCATGTCAGCATCAAACACCTCGTCAGTGACGGCCTCCGAGACCCAGGCGGCGAGGTCCTGGTCGCTGCTGCCCTGCTGGACGAAATTCGAAGGGAAGCGTCCCGTCATGATCTCGAGCACCAAAATGCCGAGGCTCCAGACATCGGTTTTCTTAGTGATGCGGCCAGCCTGGCGGTACTCGGGCGATTTGTAGGATATCATGTGGTCCTGTGCGTACTCCTGGTTCACCACCGGGACCAGCCCGTAGTCCGTCAGGAGAGGGGAGTAGTCACCGTCCAGGAGGACGTTCGAGGACTTGAGGTGCCCGTGTGGAGCCGTCAGGCTCGGGAGCTCGTTGTAGAGGTAAACCAGGCCACGGCACACGCCCTTCACAATTTTCAGCCGGGTCGGCCAGTCCAGACAGTTTCGGCTTCGAGATCTGTTACCTGCATACAATATAGTTATTACAAATTTATGTTTTGTTCAAGGAGTAGAGTGAATATAATTAATTAAGTAATTATTTATTTATGTATTTACCGTGAAGCTGAACGGCCAAGCTAACTTTGGCGGCATAATCGGTCACGAGCAGCTTCTCCTCCTTCCTGTAGTAGAACCCCACGATCTGGAGAACGTTGGGATGGGCAAGCCTTCCGAGCCGCCTCATGTGCTCGTGAAACTCCTCCTTGTTCACGTTGTTCATGTACCTGAACCTCTTCACGACCATCATCTCTCCGTTGTTGAGGGCCGCCTTGTAAGTCGACCCGAACACGCCGCTGCCCAGGATCTCGGCAGAGGCCTTCAGTAGGTCCGACATATCGAACTTGTCCCTGTCCTCTCTCAGGAACGTGATCTTCACGCTCATCTCGGGCTTTTTCCCGTGGCTCGACTTCTCAGGGGACGACAATCCAGGCAACGAGTGTTGCTGCTGCTGCTGCTGCTGTCCCTGCTCCATACTAACGAGCTCCGCCGCCTGAGGGTCGCCACCGGGAGCTATTAACGGTGGCGGCAGTTGATTACGTCGTCGGAGGATGACGACAACCACGACGAGGGCGGCGAGAGCAGCCGTGACAACGAGCGCGACTCCGATTTTAGTGCCGACGGATAGTTGGGACGGGGCGTCACACGATTTCAATGGACCTCCACATAAGTCTTTGTTTCCTGTTTTGGGATAACGAAAAGATTTCTCGATCAACACTTGCTATATACGCACATATACGCATGTTAAAAAAAAAAAAAAAAACACTCACCATCAAATGCAGCGACACTGAATTTACTGAGGCTAGTCGGGATAGGGCCAACCAACTGATTGTTGGCCGCACTAAAGTTGATGATCTTGTCCTGTGGGAACGCAGGGATCTCTCCCACGAACTCGTTGTTGTCGAGCACGAGCTCCCTCAGCCTCGGCAGTGCAGCCAACGAGATCGGGATCGGCCCCGACAGCTTGTTGTTTGCCAGATAGACCTTCTTCAGCAACTGCATCCCCTGGAAATAGTTGGGATGGATCTCCTCGTCAAACCGGTTATTGGAGAGGTAGATGCTCCTGAGGGCCGAGATGCTCGTGAGGTTCGGGAGGGGGCCGTCGAAGTTGTTGCCCATGAAGCTCAGGGCCCGGAGGTCAGGCAGTTGGGCCAGGGCAACCGTGTCGATGGTCCCGTCCAGGCCCATGTTTTCGAGCTGGAGGCCCCAGACTCGGTTGTTCTGGCAGATGACGCCTGCCCAATTCTCGTGGTCCTCACTGCACGGGGGTTTTCCGGCGGGGCTCCAGTTGGACAGTGCACCCGTGTTGTGAAGGGACTCCTTGAACTTGAGGAGGATTTCGGCCTCCGACTCAGCCTGGGAGCTGGGCGGGAGGAGGAGGAGAGCGGTGAGTAGGAGGATTGCTGGTATTTGGTCCATTGTGTGGGGGCGGGTGGCGCGTGCTCGGGGGGCACACGGGCCCGCTTTGGTCGGTGGAGAGGACAAGAGAGAGAGAGAGAGAATTGGGGGGAATGTGAGATACATGTTTGTGTGTTAGATCTATTTCATTGGGGGGTGGTGTTTGTGAGTGGAGATGTTTTTGCATGAGAAGTTTGCGGGGTGCCTGTGGAATGAATTTGATACTGTTGTACTAATTGTCCACCTGATTATTGATGTCCATATTTAATCTCTCATCTTTCTGGGAATATACAGACCTCAAAAGTCAAAATCACTCCTTGTCTGAGTCAACTTTCAAAAGCCAAAATAACTATCCATTATGATACGAGGAATTCAATATAATATAAAACAAAGCTAAAAAGATACAATTGACATAGATAAAAATGGGGGGAGGGGGGAAGGTGATCTTTCAATATTCTAGCTTTGTACTCGAGACTAGTGAATTCGCCGCACAATTGGCAAGTAAATAATTAGCAAATAACTTAAAGTTTATATGATTTATTCATTTACTTTATTAACCTTAGATATAATTAAAAATTTATTTATTCTAGTTATACGTTCTAGTGATCTTACTCACATACGTGTAAGGAACTTTATTAAAGTTTTAACGTTGTCTCCTATTGACATGCATTTTATAGTGCTTTCGTACTCATTTCGTCATAGTTTAATTAATAATTTATTTATTTAATTAATTGATTAAGCTATCAATTGAGCCAAACTAATTTTTGGTACTATTGTATAGGGCGGGTATTTTTTGATCGAAAATCGAACCGAACCGACTCATGTGTAAAGGTACGAAAATCGGTTACCGAAATGTTATCGGTTCGGTATCGGTTCCGACCCATAAGGGTTCGGTTTTTACCGAACCGAACCGATAACAATATATATAATATATATATATATATATATATATATATATTTATAATTAAAATACTTGGGATTAGGCTTTTGAATAGGTATATTATATAGATTAGTTAATTAAAATAATAAATTAAGTTAATAGACTGAATGTTTTAATTTAATTTGTCTTAAATCTTAATTAATTTTAAAAAAAGGGACGGATATAACATATAAGATATTAGGACCGATTTAGGGGTGGACCTCGACGGGTAGTTTATTTTTTAAAAAAATAAAAATAATAAGTGGACAAAAATAAAACAAAAAAAAATCAGTAGCCCAAAATCAAATACACGTATTCTCAGAATACGTTTTAATAATTAGATTTTATTTAAAAAACGTATTATTAGAATACGTGTTATAATTAATTTTATTTTTAAAAAAAAAATTAAAAAATATTATAAAACGTATTGTTATAATACGTTTTTAAAAAAAATTAATAAATAAAACGTATTTTTATAATACGTTTATATTTTAAAATTAATGAAAAAAATTAATATTTAGTATATATTTTGTGTTTCGAGCTCGTTTGGGATCGTCTGAACTCGAAATTGAGTTTCGTTTTTACCTATACGTAGCTAACGACCCCCTCTATTCAATGATGCTTGCATGACCAAATTATCCTTGAAATCTCTTGACCGACGGAACACCCAAATTCTCCTCTTCTCGCTTATTTTGCTACTATTCCCACGGGAATTCAAGTTTCTCTAATTAAATGCTCGGAACTCCGAAATACTCAATAAATGCCTCGCATGACATCGTGCCTGAATTATCTACACGCCCCAACTCGATTCTCGGTAAACCGAAGTCACACGCGACCTTGCGGGACCCACGTAAACGGCTTTTTCATTTATTTTACTAATATGCACCCTCGAACTCGAGCTTCTCTAAATAAATGATCGGGACCTCGAAATAATAAATCGACGCCATAAACGGCTTCTCCTCTTCTCGTGCTTTCTCGAAAGCACTTTTCGTTAATGCTCGACTCGCTTATCGAGGCTCGACGGAACACCCAAATTCTCCTCTTCTCGCTTATTTTGCTACTATTCCCACGGGAATTCAAGTTTCTCTAATTAAATGCTCGGAACTCCGAAATACTCAATAAATGCCCCGCATGACATCGTGCCTTAATTATCTACACGCCCCAACTCGATTCTCGGTAAACCGAAGTCACACGCGACCTTGCGGGACCCACGTAAACGGCTTTTTCATTTATTTTACTAATATGCACCCTCGAACTCGAGCTTCTCTAAATAAATGATCGGGACCTCGAAATAATAAATCGACGCCATAAACGGCTTCTCCTCTTCTCGTGCTTTCTCGAAAGCACTTTTCGTTAATGCTCGACTCGCTTACCGAGGCCCGACGGAACACCCGAAGTCTCCTCTTCTCGCTTATTTTGCTACTATTCCCACGGGAATTCAAGTTTCTCTAATTAAATACTCGAAACTCCGAAATACTCGATAAATGTCCTGCATGACATCGTGCCAGAATTATCTACACGGCCCAACTCGATTCTCGGTAACCGAAGTCAAAGTCGACCTTGCGGGACCCACGTAAATGACTTTTTTCATTTATTTTACTAATATGCACCCTCAAACTCGAGCTTCTCTAAATAAATGATCGGGACCTCGAAATAATAAATCGATGCCATAAACGGCTTCTCCTCTTCTCGTGCTTTCTCGAAAGCACTTTTCGTTAATGCTCGACTCGCTTATCGAGGCCTGACGGAACACCCGAAATCTCTTCTTCTCGCTTATTTTGCTACTATTCCCACGGAAATTCAAGTTCTCTAATTAAATGCTCGGAACTCCGAAATACTCGATAAATGCCCCGCATGATATCGTGCCTGAATTATCTACACGCCCCAACTCGATTCTCCGTAAACCGAAATCACACGTGACCTTGCGGGACCCACGTAAACGGCTTTTCATTTATTTTACTAATAATGCACCATTGAACTCGAGCTTCTCTAAATAAATGATCGGGACCTCGAAATAATAAATCGATGCCATAAACGGCTTCTCCTCTTCTCGTGCTTTCTCGAAAGCACTTTTCGTTAATGCTCGACTCGCTTATCGAGGCCCGACGGAACACTCAAAGTCTCCTCTTCTCGCTTATTTTGTTACTATTCTGACGGGAATTCAAGTTTCTCTAATTAAATGCTCGGAACACCGAAATACTCGATAAATGCCCCGCATTACATTGTGCCAGAATTATCTACACGCCCCAACTCGATTCTCGGTAAACCGAAGTCACACGCGACCTTGCGGGACTCACGTAAACGGTTTTTTCATTTATTTTACTAATATGCACCCTCGAACTCGAGCTTCTTTAAATAAATGATCGGGACCTCGAAATAATAAATCGACACCATAAACGGCTTCTCCTCTTCTCGTGTTTTCTCGAAAACACTTTTCGTTAATGCTGGACTCGCTTATCGAGACCCAACGGAATACCCGAAGTCGCCTCATTAAATAAGCTAATATATAGCGAAAAATAAAGAAAATTAAATATAAATAGTTAATTTTTTTGTAAAAATACATTTTACAATTAATTAATTGCAAAACATATTACCATAATACGTTTTACAATAAATATAATTATAAAATTAATTTATAAAACATATTTTCAAAATACGTTTTACAATTAATTAATTGTAAGACATATTACGGGAATACGTTTTACAATTAAATGTAAATCATAATATTAGTTTTATTTATAAAACATATTATTAAAATACGTTTTAAATTTAAAACGTATTCCGAGAATACGTTTTACAATATAAAACGTATTATCAGAATACGACCTTTTGATTTTGGTCCACATTTTAATTTTTTTTTTGTTTTTGTCCACTTATTTTTTTGAATTTTTATTTAAAGAAAAAAATCGGACCGGCCCGTATTGAACCATATCTATAAAACAGATCCGTTGGTCTGACACTCAACTTCCACTCATTCCTCGTTTGTAACGTAAGCAGTTCCTTTTCCGTGTAATATCTTTCTAAACCCCCAGGGCTCAACCCCAAGTGCAAAACAGAAATAGCAAGGACCGCAATCCGCACACGGCATCCGGCGCCATATCGTCTCGATTCCGGAAGTCCGACTTTCAGCATTTTCTCGCCATCCAGATACCAATCTCTATTTATATCTCGTAGGTCTTTTTGTACTNCTAATATTATGCTTAAAAGTTGAGTTTCTCTTCGTGTGTGTGTTTGCATTTGCAAAGTACACTATTTTTTTTTTTTCATTTCATATTGATGTTTGAGATATTGAATGTAAATGATTTAATTATGTTTTTGTTTCATTGCTTTTGGAACTTTGTTAAATTTTGAATTCAATAAATTTTGCTTTTGAAACTTTGTTAAATTTTGAATTTAATAAATTTTGAGCAAAATTCTGCAATGTGGCTGATCAAAATTCTATCTTTTTCTTTAGTTTAATATGCTATGTGACAATGTGAGACTATGATTATGAGTCTCAATGTGTATGTTAATTGCTTTGATGAAATTGTTATTTTCTTGTTTAGGTTCATTTTTAAATGGATGCCTACGGTGGAAAAAAGAAAACTATGTTTTCAGTTCTTAAGCCCACATCCACTATGATAGAGTATTCTCATTTTAATGTGGAAAATTCAACTCCAAATGAGTCCGAAAATCATCACACGGCTAAATATCAGAGAGACTAGATATTGATGTCAATGACTATGTTTCCCTAGACCCGACTACACATACTCCAATATGGCAATGTCCTATCCATGCACGAGATGCAATTAGGCGTTCTTATATCTTGTAGGGCCCGTATTAACCCGTTCTGGAATTTCTACGAACGTTAGGAGATCAACATCGACGCTTCCAAAAATGTTGGCATGAGCAATTACCGTAGATAGAGTATTTTCCTAAGATATATGTAGCCTTCTGTTTCCCTTGATTTTCAAGTGTAAGAGCTTAATAACAGATTTAATGACGCGGCTGCAGAACTTCTTAGGCTTAGCTCTACATTGGAGCCTCGAGGCAACTTTAAATTGTTTAATAGAGATGATATATATAATCTTGCCGAGAAATTCTACCTCGATGATTTAACTGGGCAAGAGTTACACTATTTGAGGAGCCAATTAGAGCATTACAAGTTTGATGTTGTCCGGAACAAAAGGTTTCAAAATATTTCTACCATTTCTGATTTATGTCGGCACTTAGTTGAGATAAAAAAAGCACAACGCTATTATTTGATTGACATATTGATTCGTCTTGTTTTAACTCTTCCCGTTTCTACTACAACCGAACGCTCTTTTTCAGCAATGAAGCTTTTTAGAACTTGCACATGGTCTTTATCGACCTTGCACATGGTCTTTTTAAAACTTGCACATGGTCTTTTAAAACTAAAAGAAGGACTTGCACATGGTCTTTATCGACCTTGAGAAGGCTTATGACAGAGTACCGAGGAATGTCATATGGTGGGCCTTAGAAAAGCACAAAGTCCCATCTAAGTACATTACCCTCATCAAGGATATGTACAAGGATGCGATGACGTGTGTCCGAACATGTGGAGGCGATACCAGCGACTTCCCAATTAAAATAGGACTACATCAGGGGTCAACATTGAGCCCTTATTTATTTGCCTTGGTGATAGATGAGACATACAAGGTAATATCCCTTGGTGTATGCTCTTTGCTGATGATGTGGTGCTAGTTGACGAGAGTAGGGCAGGGGTAAATAAGAAGTTAGAGCTGTGGAAGGACACGTTAGAGTCGAAAGAGAGACTTAGTAGCACGAAGACCGAGTACATGACGTTGCGCTTTCAGCATGGCTACACATGATGATGGTGACGTTAGCCTTGACGGGCAAGTGGTGGCCAAGAAGGAGACTTTCCGGTATTTAGGATCGATGCTACAAAAGGATGACGGCATTGATGTTGATGTTAGGCATAGAATTGCAGCCGGTTGGTTGAAATGGCGTCAAGCTTCGGGGTTCTCTGTGATAAGAGGGTGCCACAAAGGCTAAAAGGTAAGTTCTATAGGACGGCGATTCGCCCGGCGATGCTATATGGTGCTGAATGTTGGCCTACAAAAAGGCAACATGTCCAACAACTAAGTGTAGCAGAGATACGTATGTTGCGTTGGTTCTGCGGGCGCACAAGAAGGGATAGCATCCGGAATGAGGATATTCGAGATAGGGTCGGGGTGGCTCCAATTGAGGAGAAATTGGTTCAACATCGGCTGAGGTGGTTCAGACATGTCCAACGGAGGCCTCTTGATGCACCGGTGCGTAGGGGAGTTCCACAGCGGGTCGATGATGTAAAGAGAGGTAGAAGTCGGCTTAAACTCACTTGGGAAGAGTCGGTTAAGAGAGACCTTAAAGATTGGAATATCTCCAAGGATTTAACGGTGGATAGGAGCGCTTGGAGGCTAGCAATCAACGTGCCAGAACTGTGACTTTTGCTCCTTTCTCTTTTGCTCCAATCTCTTCCTTTTGTTTTGAGCCCTTTTTGCGTTTCTCTTGGGTTTCATCTCTAGCCTACCCCAACTTGCTTGAGACTAAAAGACTATGTTGTTGTTGTTGAAGCTTTTTAAAACTTCTCTTCAAAATAAGATGGAATAAGAGTTCTTAGCGGATTCAATGATTATCTAGATTTTAGTACGTAGATCGACATGGACTCCATTATAGATGAATTCTATAATATGAAACATCTTAAATATTTAACATTTTCTTCATTTTTTTTAATGATCTGATGTATTTTGCATGTTTCTATTGACAATTTCTTTAACCTTTTTCTTTTAAAATATTTAATTATATAATTTAAGTCAACGTTGATATCGAACAGTCCAGTATGATTTTCTTTTCTGGCTATGCCCCCTGCGTGTTCTGTTGCTTTTGTTCGTAAGTTTTGTTGTTAACATGCATCTATTTTGATTTGCATTTCTGCTTGTTTGTTCCTGATTCATTCTACTTTCTGCTTGAGAGTTGAGCCGCTTGTGCAGGTCTATGGCAATATATAATTTTGAGTTTATGGAATGGGCGAGTAGTTGATTTGTTCCTGGGGAGACAATTTTCTGCATAAATTGTGTGGATATGTGAATGAATGCATTGTTTCTAAAGTTCCTGTATGCTAATTACAGTCCATTTCTCTATTTCAATGCCACTCTGTTAAATCTAACAGTGTCTAAATATTGGTTTCTTTCACAATTTATGTTTTCCACTGGTGCTTATCTTTGGCCTAATTTTTCT